TTTTCTTAATAAATATTTTAATTTTTAATTTTCTGTTTTTATGTTTGTGAAACTTAATATAACCATAGTCAAAATACTTAAGCAAATCAGAATCCTTATTTTTAAAATTATTTAAAATAAATTTCAGTTTACCATCCAATCAATCTAAAGCATAAATTTATTTAGAATTTATAAAATATTTTAATTATTGTAAATATTGATATGTGTTCAAAAGCTTCTAAGAATTCATTAGTTACTTATGTAATTGAGATTCAGACACTTTAGTTTTTATTTTTTTTCTTCTGAGCACAAAAGAATATTAAGTGATATATAGTCTTACTAAATATACTTATATTTCTAAGATAACAACTAGCATAAATTCAAATAAGACAATTAATAAAAAAAATTAATATATTTAAAATATAAATGATTATAGTTGAATTCAGAGAAATAGATAGAATCCAATATATGATAACTATATCGACCGTAAAAAACAATAAAACATACTAAATATAACATATCTAAAATTATATATAGAATTAAAGTAATATAATATTATAATATAAATTAGACATACAAACTATAAATTAATTTAAAAATTAAAGTAAATATCAATCAATTATTATTGTATATTTATTTTATAAATATACATGCCCGTGCATGAGCACGGGAAAATCACCTAGTACTAGATATAATCCCTTCCAACAACCGATGTGGGACCTTTGTCCCTAATACGCCCCCTCGAGATGATGGCTCTTTTGGCATCAATCTCGGAATGTTCGGGCAAGGATCGATGAGCCAAGTTTGGACTGGATCGATAAGGATCGGGTTGGACTGTGTGTGGATCGTGGGCTCTGATACCATATTAAGGTAGATGGACTTTCAACTTAAAACCAATTGGTGATAAGTGGATTGACCCATATATCTTATATACTAGATATAATCCCTTCCAACAACCGATGTGAGACATTTGTCCCTAATAATTATTGCATGAAGTTGTATTATTCTTATAGTCTTGTTAATTTAAGCATTAGGATAATTAATTGTTTTTATTTTTCCTATTTTTACTAGAAACATTCTAAATGGTTGATATTTCGCGGCAAAGGGAGTAAGAATTAATGCGAGCATTTCTATAGATAGAAGACGATCCTCCCACACACATCAACCCTATTTGTATTCTCTACCGTCCACTATATTCTTATTTACCAAAAACCTGAGAGCAAAACAAACTGAGTTATTTGACAAGAAAACAACATTTTTTATTAGGGAATGCTTTTGGTTTGGTTGAAAGATTTGTTTGGCAGAAATGGAGCAGAAGAGCGTGTTGTTCTCAGCCTTAGGGGTTGGTGTTGGGTTAGGACTCGGGCTAGCATCTGGTCAAGGTTTAGGTAAATGGGCAAACGGGTCAGTTTCTGCAGAAGATGGTCTAACCGGAGAAAAGATTGAACAAGAGTTGATAAGGCAAATTGTTGATGGAAGAGAGAGTGGTGTCACTTTCGACGAGTTTCCTTATTTCTTAAGGTTACATCAAATATTGCTTGTGTCTCAAGAAAGATGCATTAATTTGTTTATATTACTCTACTCATGATGCTTTAATTTAATCATGTAACAGCGAGAAAACTAGGCTTCTATTAACAAATGCAGCTTATGTCCACTTAAAGCAATTTGATATCTCTAAGCACACACGTAATCTTGCACCTGCGAGTAAAGCTATTCTACTCTCTGGACCTGCAGGTAAAACATTTCTCATCCTTTTATATTCATTCCTCAATGGTTATGTGTAATTATCTTTTTAATTTCTTGGCAGAGTTTTATCAGCAAATGCTTGCAAAAGCATTGGCTCATTACTTTGAATCAAAACTATTACTACTAGATGTCACAGACTTCTCTATTAAGGTGCTAACTAATTGCATTATAGTTTTTAGTATTTGCCATGTAAAAGAGTTAGCTTGTAAGCTTTTATCTTTTGATACAGATTCAAAGCAAGTACGGATGCGTCAAGAAGGAACCTGTACGTTACTTTGTGATTTTATTTTTTATGTGTTTGGCACAAACCATGTGTGTTAATTTATTTCTTATCTACTGTTTTCTAGTCTCACAAGAGGTCTATTTCTGAGTTAACGTTGGACAAAATGTCTAATCTAGTGGGATCTTTCTCTATGCTCACCCAAGGAGAAGCACAAAGAGGTACATACATTCTCTTTTGGAGTTTTTTTTTGGACAATTCTCTCAAATAGCCATATTTTAGTTTTATCATAAAAATAAAGATCAAAAATTAAAATTAGCAAAATAGCATTTTTTATTTTGAAAATTTTAAGTTTTTTTTTTTTAAAAAAAAATTTGAAACCCAATCCCCAAAACCCCACTTCTCAACTATAAACAAAAAATTTTTGGATTAGTTAACCCAAATGGTATAAATGTATATTTAATAAAACTTTTAAGTGTTATTTTGGTTATTTTTATTGTTAAGATCTATATTTGTGACAAAACTTTTTTTAGGTCTATTTTAGACTTTTTTTTTTTTTTTTGTTCTTAGTAATCCTAAAGTCTAAGCATTATTGTAAATGATAGGGACCTTGCGTAGGCTCACTAGTGGCAACGATCTTACCTCAAGGTAAATTGGTTCTTGTCATACTTGATTATTTAAATCTGTTTTATGTAAAGCTCACTTGTTTCTATAACGTACTAGGGGCTTTGAAGGTTCAAGTAATCCTCCAAAACTCAAGAGAAACGCTTCTGCTGCTTCTGATATTAGTAGCGTTTCAGGTGTGGAACCGTTTTATTTTTATTAGACATCATATTCTTAGTCACATTGTTCATTTTGTGTATGTTTATATCTTTATAGGTTCAAGCAAACGCAGTACAAACTTGTGTTTTGATGAGAGACTATTCCTTCAGTCACTTTACAAGGTCTTGGTATCAGTTTCGGAAGCCAATCCTATTATAATATACCTAAGGGACGTTGAGAAGCTTCTTCAGTCAGAGAGGTTCTACAAACTGTTCCAGAAGCTCTTGTCTAAGCTTTCAGGACCTGTTTTACTTCTTGGGTCAAGACTATTAGAGCCTGAAGATGATTGCCAAGAAGTAGGAGAAGGCATCTCTGCTTTGTTTCCTTACAACATTGAGATCAAACCTCCAGAGGATGAATCTCAACTCATGAGCTGGAAAACAAGATTTGAAGATGACATGAAACTGATTCAGTTTCAGGACAACAAGAACCATATTGCTGAGGTTCTTGCGGCTAATGATCTAGAATGTGATGACTTAGGTTCTATATGCCATGCAGATACCATGTTCCTAAGTAGTCACATTGAGGAAATTGTGGTTACAGCAATCTCTTACCATCTGATGAACAATAAAGAACCTGAATACAAAAACGGAAGGCTTGTAATATCTTCCAACAGGTACTAAAGAGACCTATTATCTCTGTAACATAATAAGTTTTTACCTTTGTTAAACTAAACAGAGTAAATGATTCTGCAACAGCTTATCCCATGGACTGAGTATATTCCAGGAAGGTCATAGACTTGAGGACTCCTTGAAGATGGACAGAAACTCTGAGTCCAAGGTATTCACAGTTCTGCCTAGTCTTGGGCATATTATCCTAAACCCGAAAACCGAATTGGAAAAAACGAAATCGAAACCGGACCGGAATTTACAAAATCTAAACAGTTCCTTTTTTTTAAACCCAAAAAACTGAAACCAAACCGAAGACTGAACATATACCCAAATATTTGAAATATAATCAATATTAATCAATATAATCAATATTAAAATATCAAAGAACCAGAATTACCGGAATATTTTTTTCGGATTTTGGGGTTTAACTGAGTTTTCCGAGAGATTTTTTTTTTGTTTTCTCCACTTTAAACCCAAACTAAATCGAACTATTTCTAATTTGGTTCCATTTTGGATTTTTATAAAGAAGAAATAAAAACTCGACCCAAACCAATATTACCCAAACCGATCTGATCCAAAAAATGTCCGGTTTCTAAACACAATCACTAGTTCTGACCATGTGCTTTTGAAATATTAAAGCGAGTGACATGTTTATGGCATTTGGTGCAGGGAGAAGAAAGTGAAGGGATGATAAATAGTGAGCTCAAATCTGAGTCGAATCCTTCAGCAAAGAATGAATGTCCCCTACCTCCAAAAGCACCAGTAAATGTAAAACTAAAACATACTATTCAACATTCATTATATCAATGCATTTGCCTCACAATAAGGTTTTATATGTTAGGAGGTGCCTCCTGATAATGAATTCGAGAAACGCATAAGACCAGAGGTTATCCCTGCAGATGAGATTGGTGTGACATTTGCTGATATAGGTTCACTAGATGAAACCAAAGAATCACTTCAAGAGCTTGTCATGCTTCCTCTTCGTAGGCCTGACCTGTTCAAAGGTGGTCTTCTCAAACCATGCAGAGGAATCCTCCTCTTTGGACCACCTGGTACTGGGAAAACCATGATGGCAAAAGCCATTGCCAACGAAGCGGGAGCTAGTTTCATAAACGTTTCCATGTCCACAATCACTTCAAAATGGTTTGGAGAAGATGAGAAGAATGTGAGAGCTTTGTTCACACTAGCAGCCAAAGTGTCGCCAACTATAATATTTGTGGATGAAGTTGATAGCATGTTGGGGCAGAGGACTAGAGCTGGAGAGCATGAAGCTATGAGGAAGATTAAAAACGAGTTCATGACACATTGGGATGGGCTTATGTCGAGTCCAGGTGATAGGATTCTTGTTCTTGCAGCAACAAACAGGCCTTTTGATCTAGATGAAGCCATCATTAGGAGGTTTGAGAGAAGGTAAGTAGTCCTTTCACTTGAAACCCTGAGCTTGAGGTTGTACTAACTCCATGTTTTGTTGGGAGGCAGAATCATGGTTGGTCTTCCATCAGTGGAGAGCAGAGAGAAGATCTTGAGAACTTTACTGTCAAAAGAGAAAACAGAGAATCTTGATTTTCAAGAGCTTGCACAGATGACAGATGGCTATAGTGGAAGTGATCTCAAGGTTTGATACAATCCTCAACTCGCTTTACCAACACTATTATCTTCTCTTTATGGACTGATTCTAGTGAAATGTTATACAAACAGAACTTTTGCACAACAGCTGCATATAGACCAGTGAGGGAGTTGATAAAGCATGAGTGCTTGAAAGACCAGGAGAGGAAGAAGAGAGAGGAAGCAGAGAAGAGTAGTGAAGAGGGATCTGAAGAAAAAGAAGAAGCATCTGAGGAGAGAGGCATAACGCTGAGAAGTTTGAGCATGGAAGACATGAGAGTAGCTAAAAGCCAGGTAAGTAAAACACACTTAGTTGTGTTTGATGATCTTTGTGATTCAAAAGCTAACTGATTTGGATTTTGCAGGTTGCTGCTAGCTTTGCAGCAGAAGGAGCAGGTATGAATGAACTGAAGCAGTGGAATGATTTGTATGGAGAAGGAGGCTCCAGGAAGAAGGAACAGCTCTCTTACTTCCTTTAGTAACATTTTCTACAAAGTTTTCTATCTTTATGAGTCTAATATTTCATCAGTATTATTATCATACTATTAAACATTAATTCTGGAGATTTTGTAAATAAAACTTGTACAGTTAATCATCTATTGTATATTTGTTAATATAAAGTTTAACTGTTTATGTCAAGCATCAATTTTATATTCTATAGGATTGAAAGATAAGATATAGACCAAACATATCTGCAACATTGGTTCACTTCTTTTAACTGTATATAAATCGTGTATCCTTCTTAGGATCTGCACATACACATAGCTGTGGAGTAGAGAATAGTAAACAACTTACATGAACAAAATCAGAAGAAACTAGAGTAAACCAAATGGTCAGGTTTGGATTGTGTACTATGTTGATGGAGTGAATAGATGCAGAAGCGCAGACCAATAACCAACCAACTGCAGTTTATAAAATGCAACAAAGAGTCTTTAGTAAAAAAGTCTTTTTCTAGTTGTCAGAGGAAGTGTGGAATATAACAAACCTGAGCCAAGATACCCTTCCCTGTTTGCGCTTCGATTATAAGGCCTGTGGTGAGTCCTATGATTGCCCATGCTCCGTTTATAGCCTCTATTTCACGCCTTCTCTGTTGCCTCTCTCTGCCTTTGATCTTTTCCATTTGCTTGGCTGCTAATTTCTTGGCCTCAAGAGGGTCTACCATGATTACCTCTTTTTTTGCCTTTACTTTTCCAGGAGGAGGAGATGACGCCTACACAAACACTCGGCATGGGAAGAAACTTATAAACTACACTACTGAAGACTCAACAACCATTCACAATTTCTCAGACTTTAACATCCTAACAAAGGATTACATGTAACAGAGATCTTAGAGAAAATGAAATGTTCTTATTTAGTATATAGAAAAGCTAATATATCAGAGCAAAAAATGGGAGAAAGGTAATACATTTGGATTAGCTAGGACTCGAACTGCTCCACCTCTGGCTCTTGTTGCATCTTGGTGTCTTCTTACTCCCTTTCTGAGAAACCACACAAAGATATGGATGAAGGATATAGTGGAAGAATATAATCATCAAAAGCAATGATAACATTTGATCAATGACTCCTGAACTGGATGTAACCTTGACGTGTCTCACATGGGACAAGAATTTAAAAACTAAGCTTGGATACTCTCTTCCGCATAATGTTATTACCATATCAAATAGACAAGTGTCATAAGATAATTCAAGAGACGAGGCAACAAAGGAGAAGAAATAAAGCTGGAAATGGAATACAAAGGAACAAACTCAGGACATGTAATGCGGAATAAGAGGACTGCTTATCTCATGAATAAAATTAATGACCAAAAGTTAAACAGTAGACAAAAGCATGTGAATGAGATGGTTACCAATAAGTAAACTTATCCTGAACGCAAGAGCAGAAACATTCACATGCTTCAGATTAACAGAAAATCTGGCTATGTGAAACAGATTCAGTTCACATGAAACTCTGATGTTAAATATTTCTAATAAAAGTTGTTCACTATGATATATGTAAAGTGAAAACAGATTCAATTCACATATAAGTTAAAAAAAGTACACAAAAAAATGTGAATGAGATGGTTACTAGCAATAAGTAAACGTATCCCAAACGAAAGAGAAACCACATTCAATTAAACCGCTTCCAAAAAAATAAAATAAAAATGTTAACCAAACATTAAAAAAAACATCATCTGAGGCATTACTCATAGACAAGACAACATCTTGACCAAACATAAGAAATGTAAAAACCATGAATCCAACATTCAATTACAGAGAACGGTTCAAAGTCAGGAACTTTAATGGCGCGTAGTAACAGAAAATCACAACCCAGAACACGAATTTGAAAAATAAAGAGACAGAACACTACTACATACACTGTACATACGGAAAGTTCAAAACTTTCCACAAACATATAGGAAATTGAGAAATGTAATTTGACAAGGAGAGAAACTTACACTAGAGAAGAGGAAGAAGGAGTCAAAGGAAGCGTAAAACGTCCATGGAGAGTGGAAGAAGAAACTTGAGGATCAGATGCAAGGGAGAAGAAGAAGATAGGCGGCGATGAAGAGAAAGACGTCACCACCATTTCTAAGCCTTTCATATTTTCCCAAGCGCCTTTCTCTGTTTTTATATTCGTTTTGGTGGATTAAGTAGCCAAACGCCAGTTAACACGCCGCCGTTTTAGACCACCAACAAAAAATACATAAAAATCTTATCCAATAAAATTTATAGAAGACACTGGATTAACACCAAGACTATGGTTGTTCAAAAAAAAAAAAAACACCAGGACTATGTTTAACATAAATGTATTATTATTTTTATTCTAAAAGAATTGTTAGATTAATAATTATACAATAGATAGATTTACTGATATATAAGGGTCAATGGAAAATAATTTAATTTGCACCATATTGTCTCCATTAATTTGTTTTTAGCACTTATATTTTTAGCATTGATTAATTATATTATTACAAACTATGAAAAGCATTATATATATGATTACGAGGATTTTATGTTTAAGTACATCATCCTGAACCACTTCGTGACAGTCAATTTCTAACGGTACTCACCATGTTAAAGATTTTTTGTAAGATTTTTCTTTAATATTTTGCATAATTCATCGGGGAATTGAAACTCAGACTTCTTAGTGTAAAATCAATTAATTTGTTTTCTACAGTTCAATTCCTAAATTTGTTAGTGAATAAGTATTGGAATACTAAACTTTGATCAAACATTTTTTAAAAGGCTTTCACAAACATTTTTTTATGTAGGGTTGATAAGCTAAAATGTTGGTTAAAACATCATACATGAGCAAGGAATCGATTTCAAGACAATAAAATGAATTTTACAACCTTGAAATAAAAGTGACTCTATTTGCGAGTCATACAAAGTTCTTTATTTACTGCCAAGAACATGTATACAAATTGGATAAATGAAAAAGATTTACATTTGGAAATGAATCAGGAGTTTGGAAGGGAAAGCCAAAGGAGGAGCCGTTGTGGCCTGTTGAGATATCTAGCTTGCCACGCCGGCTCAGCACTCTCTTCCACGAACCCACTTTTCATGTATAGCCTCTTCGCTGCTTCATTGACCACCGTCACATGCACGTACATATCCGTTATTCCTGGAACCATAACCACAACTCCTTTACTAAGTCCATTTTTTTTTGAAAGTGTACTATTATAATCAAAGTTCTTTACCCCATTCTCTAGCAACTACTTTGGACTTTTCAATTAGTTTGTAACCAACTCCATTACGATGCAGCTCTTTCGCAACACAGACGTTGCTCAAGTATGCCCTCGCAAAATCCACACTAAACCCCTATATAACAACAACAACAAAAAAAGAGCTTCTCAATTTTGTCTGAAGCTTTTTGTTAAATACAAAGTTTGGTAACATGAAACATACCTCTGGTTTTGTTCCAGCGATTTCATCAGGAAGCCAACGGCATTGGTTAAGATCAAGGCTCCCCACCACAACTCTATCTTCTATCCCATCAGAATACTGAAAAAAACAGATGAAGCATTCCATATCATAAACTAAAGCAACAACTTGACTCTCTCACAAAACCTCCAAAGTATTACTCCCTTCTTTTCACAATACATGATGTTTTTACTTTGATACACAAAGATTAAAATAATTATTTTTCAAAAAAGTAACTTCAAAAATATAAGTTATAAATCATTCACCCAATTATAGAAATGACTGCAAAAACCTCATTGGTTAAACAATTTTCAGTAAAGCAAAAAATAATATAAATATCAGAATATCATCTATTTCGAAACAATAAACATCTTCTAAAATTTCATCTATAAAAAATATTATTTTGAACAGTAACCTCCAAATTGTTAAAAACAAAATTTTATCAAAATTTTTACTAAATTATCTGTCAACTCTTAAAATTTCAACGCATTTATAAAAGTAAGCCTCTTCAAAGTACCTTGAAAAAAGTCTACTATGCTAACTCGACTAGTATGCACACGTAACAACAATACAAGAAGGCCAAATGAAAAGACAGACCTTACATGCAGAGCATAAATCCTCAGAAGAGGTTGATGATAATTGCGACAATGGAAGAGTCGCATTTACGCAGGACACCCTCGTAAAACCTTCCCTCTTCCCTGAAACTCTCTCCTTAAGCGCCTCGAACTCACGTTCTGCCAAGTATTTTCTGTGATCCTAAAGAAAACTTGAACAGCAAAACGTAACATCAGCACAAGAACATAACGACAAAAAAAACCTCAAAGAACATGATAACTACAGCATTCAAGATCTTCTTGAATATGTACACAACCCAAAGATACCAAAAAAAGATGTAATAGGGAGAAGAACTGACTTGTATATTGTAAGAAGAAGGGTTTAATTCGTTGAATGTCCGGACGCGGAGGCAAGCTGCAGCCCAAAGCTCGTTCTCGGACACTGTTTCGGATAAGATGATCGCTGACCTGTCGATTGCTGGAGTAAGAATTTGTGAGGCGGAGATAGGACGTAACCGGAGCCTATGTGAAGGAGAAGAAGAACGGAATCCATCTGTGTTTGACTTGCTGAAAATGGCGATAGAGCATGGAGGAAGAGATGAACAGAGGGACAACATTTTTGGTGGACTAACCATGTCCTCAGCTTCTTGCTAAGTTCAAGCTGCAATATCTAGGCCCAATGGGCCCACAGTTTTTATTACATTTTCAATTTTTGTCTAATTGAATAGATTTTGTTTTTTTCTAATTGAATAGATTCTGTAACGGCGTTTCATTATATATGAAATAAATATTGGATTTGTTTTTTTAAAAAAAAAAATATATTCGAAATTTAAATCTGAAATATTACGAATCGAAACTCGAATCTAAAATAAACATTATTAACTAAATTGGTTCTGATTGTTATATAGATATATAATTTGAAAAGTATCTAAAAAAGTTGAACTCATAAACTCGATCGAACGGGTATCTGGAAACATATATGTATTTTTATCTAACAAAAATATCATCCAAAAGAAAGAATATCCACAAAATACCAGTTCCATGTCATTAACAAACAAAAAGATGTCGTAAGTAAAATTTTATTTCCAAAAAAAAAAAAAAATTGTATCAAGAATCAGGCTCTTTAAACAAGTTTGCATACAGCTTAGTTAATGCATGTTGATGCTTTACAAGAAGATATATTATATTAGGATGGTTTAGTACAATGGGTTTAGTTAAATTAGATTCTGGTTAAGTCTCCTTTCACTTAACCGGTACCATATATATATATGTGTCATATACAGTAGAAACAGATTGAGCTGAATAACAAACTTTCTGTTTTCATTTTCTTTTCTTTTTTTTTTCTTTTTTTTGGAACATTTCTGTTTTCATCTTCTTCAACCTTGCTCTCTCGTTTTCTTCTTCGTGAATCTCAAATTCAATCTCGAGATCAAGTCTTGATATGGTATCAGAACCCACACACGAATCTTCCGCTACGATACGAGCTTCCCGATATCTCTTTTCTCGCGATTCTAGCGTCATTTGTGTTTCGCAATCAGGGATTTCGTTTTGCCGCTCATCTTCTGTTACTCGTTGATACTTTACTTGAAGCTCTTGAGCAAAACAGAATTTGGGATATTGTTACTTTGCCAGATGGGAAGAATGTGGTGGGGTGTCATTGGATTTTCACTTTGAAGTATAATTCGGATGGTACTGTGGAGCGTCCTAAATCTCGTTTAGTAGCTCGGGGTGTTACACAACAAGAGGGTGTTGATTACTTGGAAATTTTTTCTCCAGTTGCTAAATTGACTAGTGTGAAGTTGTTGTTGAGTCTTACATCTGCGAAGGGATGGAGTCTGACACAAATGGATGTGTCTAATGCCTTTCTTCTTGGTGATCTTGATGAGGAAATCTATATGAGTCTTCCTCAAAGCTATACGCCTGCTCCTGGAGTTATTTTACCTCCAAAATCGGTGTGTCTACTTCGCAAAAGTTTATACGGTTTGAAGCAAGCTTCTCGCCAATGGTATAAGAGATTTTCCTCAGTCTTACTTGGTGATAACTTTGTTAAATCTCCAGCCGATAATATGTTGTTTGTGAAGAAGACATCTGACTCATTTGTTGCAGCATTAGTATATGTTGATGATATACTAATTGTTGGTGATAGTGACACTGTTGTTGATGATCTTAGGACTTTGCTACGTTCTGAGTTTAAAATCAAAGATCTTGGTCCAGCGAGGTACTTTCTTGGTTTGGAGATTGCTCGATCCTCTTCTGGTATTTATGTCTGTCAACGCAAGTATACCCTGAATTTACTTGAGGATTATGGTTTGTTGGGATGTAAACCAAGCTTTATACCGATGGATCCTAATCTGCGTTCGACAAAGGATCTTGGCAAGCTATTGTCTACTCCTACTCAGTATAGAGAGCTCATTGGTCGTTTGTTATACTTATGTATAACACGTCCTGATATCACTTTTGCAGTCCATCAGCTCAGTCAATTTCTCTCTGCTCCTACAAATGTTCATTATCAGGCAGCTCTTAAGGTCCTTCGGTATCTCAAGACTAATCCATGACAAGGCTTGTTGTTTGAGTGCTTTTGCTGATGCTGATTGGGCAGCCTGCAAGGATACACGGCGTTCTGTTACAGGCTTTTGTGTGTATATTGGAACATCTTTGATCTCTTGGAATCTAAGAAGCAGACAGTTGTAAGTAGAAGTAGCACAGAAGCTGAGTATCACAGTCTTGCTCTTGCTACATGTGAACTTTTATGGCTTCAACAACTTCTCAAGGATCTTCATATCACCACGACTTCTACACCAAAGCTTTTATGTGTCAACAAGTCGGCTGTTCATCTTGCTACTAATTCTGTCTTTCATGAGCGTACAAAGTATATCGAGATAGATTGTCATACTGTACATGATCAGATCAAGGCTGGTTATCTTCTTACTCTTCATGTTTCTTCTGGAAACCAGCTTGCTAATATCTTGACTAAACCACTTTATCTAGGTCCTTTTCTCTCCATGTTGCAGAGACTTTCACTGTCAAGTCTTTTTCTTCCAGTTCTGCAGTCAAAGACTTGAGAGGGTGTATTAGGATAGTTTAGTACAATTGGTTTAGTTAAATTAGATTCTGGTTAAGTCTCCTTTTGCTTAACCAGTAACATATATATATGTGTCATGTACAGTAGAAACAGAATGAGCTGAATAACAAACTTTTTGTTTTCATCTTCTTCAATTTTTCTCTCTCGTTTTCTTCTTTGTGAATCTCAAATTCAATCTCGAGATCAAGTCTTGATATATTATGTCCCAAATAAAGTAATAGCTACAAAGTATGGAAGGATTACAATGAGGATGGTAAGATGATGTGTACCATGAGTCAGTCTTTGTCATTATCCTATGATTGTATGTCTTTCCATGCATCCAGCTCTTATTGGTTCAAAGATATATCATTTCATCAAATAATAGAAAGAAAACATATTTTCTATCGGTGGACATAGGGCTGGGCAAAAAATCCGGATCCGAAGAACCGAACCGAACCCGATCCGAAAAAGTAGTATTGAACCCGAATCGAAATTAATTTAATATCCGAATGGGTTCACAAATTTGGTATTTAAAGAACCGAACCCGACCCGAACCGAAGTATTTCGGGTACCCGAATATATCCGAAAGAGATTTATATACCTATATATATTAATTATTTTAGATTTAATGTATATAAAAAAATCAATATATATAAAATACTTTGAAGTTGTTCAGAATACTTGCAAATATATGTAAATCGTCAAACATATATGTCTAAAATTGCTAAAGTACACTCAAAACATCAAAAATACTTTAAAATATTATTGATTCACAATCCAAATATTCAAATCAAACTAATTTATATGTTAATTTTAGGTATTTTGACTTATGTTATTCAATTATTTGTAATATATTATTTTGTTTATAAATTTTTAGAAGTTTAAAGTATATAATCAATTTTAAAATTTTTAAAAAGAATTTAAATGGGTTATCCGAACCCGAACCGAACCCGCAAAGATCCGAACCGAACCCGAACCGAAATTTAGAAATATCCGAATGGGGCTAAAATTTGTGAACCCGAAAACTCGAAACCCGAATAGATCCGAACCGAACCCGAATGGGTACCCGAACGCCCACCCCTACGTGGACAGACATAAGAAAAATCGACTAATAAACAAATGAAGAAGCTACTACACTTACACAAAAAGACTAGAAATAGTAGCACAAAGAAAGTCCCATTGTAACTCATTTAGTATGTTGCATATATAACAGATAAAAGACATAGAAATATGCAACCTCACACACACACAAGAGAAAGCGATCAAAGAGTTGTCTTAAAGGCTGTATTTTACGTACTCAAGAGTAAGATGATGGCACTTTAGATATCTTCTTTGGTCTAAGTCTTGGTTTGTTCTTTTATATCTCAGGACATAAGTATCTAACGCCATCGGCGTACCCTATTGTTCCTGAAGGCGCAACAACCAACAGAGTAGACAATAATGAGGAATACGAGGAAGACAATGTTCACCTCAGCCACTTTTTTCCACGAGTTCCTGAGGTTGTCAAGCAAACCGGCCTTGCACGCTTGGCAGTTGTAACATAGAGTCCCCGGCTTATTGTCCCAAACGTTACAATCCTCGTTTGTGTATGGACCATTAGTCTTTGTCCAATTAATCGGACTCACGTAGGTGAAGTTACAATCATTAGACGGCTTACAGCAACCAGACTACACAAATAAGCACACAAAAAAGGTGTTCAGTGAAATTCATCATATGAAATAAAACGACTCACATTATCACAATAGTATAGTTATCCCTAAAAACTCACTTGGTTTCCTAATTTTTTTTTTCTAAAAAAAAAAAAAGTTAAAAGCAAACCAATTGCGGGCTGTCATGTGTCAATGAAGTCCGCGAACAGTGCAAAAAATCCATAAGAATCGGTTCTTAATTCATAGTTTTTGTAACCGTCTCTTATACTGTTCATGGACCCACGTAAAAAATCCCCCTAAGAAACTCAGTAAGAAATCTCTATAATAACTTCGGTTACATGTTACATAACAAAATGTAGCCAAATGCTACCTAAACTATGATAAACTATAAACGTTTTATGTTATTTAAATTTGAAACCTCTTTGTAAAAAAAAAAAAATTGAATAGAATGTGACCTGAAGGGCATTGAGATTGGTCTTGTAGAACTCATTAACAGTGACCGTCGCATAGCGACTACTAAAAGTGGAACACACGTTGGAGTAAACCAAACAGCTCCTAATCCGATCCCAATTCTTAGCGTTACCAACTCTTTTCTGCAGCCAGTTAGAGTAATCTCCCACACGGTACTCCTTATACCCTCTATCAGACAAAACCTCACCGGCACCACGGTTAGTAACAACGAAGGCAAAGATGGTGAAACAGAATCCAACGAGTATGAGAATGAACATAGCGAAAAGGTAAAGCCATAGGAGGAAAGAGACACGGCAGCAAGCGCCAACGAGGCCAGCGATGGAGACGAACATGAGGAAGATTCCGAGGAGGACGATTGGTTTGTCGAGGAAACGTTCACACTCGGTGGCTGCATTTTTGCCGAGCCAGATTCCGGCGGAGAGGATGGGGATTGAGAGGAGGAAGGTGAAGAAGTTGAGGATTCCGACAAGGTTGTTGCTACACTCAACCATTTTTGTTTGGTGTTTAAGGCAGAGGTCTCTAAAGTTATGTCTGGTGGAAACTAAAAAATGACACTCATTACTCATGCCGCCGAAGTTAGATCTTTACGCAACAGGTAGTTTTTGTCCGCGACGAAAAACTGTTGGGATGTAACTGTCAATGACAGGTAGATAGGCACTTTGCAAATGACACCCTATATTTGTTAGAAATGACAAAATAGCCTCAAAATTTAAATTGGGAGTTTTAAAATCCAAGCTTAAATCATTATTAATCCAAAAGAATGTCTTGCAGTTTAATTTATTTGATCAATCAAAGAGAAGAGATTAACAAAAAGATAGAGATGGATTGAAATGATCATCCACACGACCTTATGGCCTTAAACAAAAACATGATGAAAGAGAGCTTTCTTGCTCAAGATCAGAGAGGACCAGGGAAAGTTCCGGTCTCTCTCTGCTCGTTCCACTTGTCAACCTGAGGAAAGATTAGCGCATAGTTAAAGAATGTGGGCAGAGAAAGATGAAGATGATTATGAAGAAACAGAGGAAAAGACATAAAGAAGGTAACAAACCCATTCACCAGGGCAGAGAGCACGGTAGTACTTGGCGAACCTCTCGCATTCATTGGAGTCCTCACCCTTTGCAGTCGTGCACCTACAGATAATGGTTTAGAATAGACACTAACTCAAATCAAAGAAGACTACATGTTGTTGAAACTAGAACAAGAGTGTACCTGTGGAACTCAATGTAACGGGTGAAGCAATGCCTTGTCTGGTTCGTTGTAGGGAAACGGAAATCAGCAGGAGCAGTTTTCAGTTCAATCTGAAACAATTACAAAACAAGTAAGACAGCGAGATGCACTTCCTAGTAACTCACAAAGATGAAACTAAAGGATAGAAATAATTTCTTTTCCAATTCAAAGCTTTACCTTTTTCTTCCCTAATTTAGTTATATTTCTTCTCTATTCAAAAACCTCTTTAAAATTCAAATCTTTCATCTATCTCTGTTTCGCCTTATGATTCCTAATCTAACTCTACCATATTGAACACATCACGCAAGCAACAAAACCTAGTAGCTTAGCTTTCATCAAAATCGAATTACATATACAACAAATCTTAACGATGTCGTATTTTAGGTGAATCATGAGAAAGTGATCAATCAGATCGAATTTTCAGAAACAAAAGTTTCGATTTTTTTTTCATGTCCTCATTTTACAATCTCCGGCGGAAAAACAGAGTTAATATCATTCCTATCTATATTAAATAAATAAGAAAATATGAAAGATCACCTCATCCTCCATGGCTGATCCGAAGACGAACGGTGAGAAGTTTTGGTCTATTGAAAAATGAAATTTGCAGATGGCCAATGTTCTCTCCAGTGACGACTAGGAGAAAAGCCAATGAGGCCGTTTTGGGCTTTCGGACAATCATGGGCCTAAGATTGTATTATTTGTTGGTTCAAGTTTTAACGATCCGATGGTTTAAGTCGGTTTAATAGCCGATTTGATTCGGTTTATTTTGACAGATTTCATTTTTGGGTTGTTTCCGGACCGGTCAAAGAGAGTAAAGAAGTGACTGTATGAGACCAAAGCCACGCTACTGTGAGCAGCTGAGGATAGCCCTCTAGAACTGCTGGAGAGAATAGTGATATTCTCTTATCTTATGCACACACCTAGAACCTCTTCAAGATCAAGAAACAGTGATGAAGTTTTTCTATGATTGGACAATGAGCTTGGTTTTGCTAAAAGACTGTCAACATTAGCGGGTACGATCTAGCAACGGTTGCTGTTTAATCTGTTTTATATTCTTGACAAATTACCTGTGATGAACAGCAGAGAATACTTGGAACAACACTCAACAACGTTGCAGAAGAAGCAGCCTTGCATGATAGGAAATGTTATCATTATCAAACATGTCGTAACCATTGTTTAGCCAACATAGAGACTCAGCTTAACCATTGTAGATATTCACAGTGCATTTTGGGATCCCATAAGTTATCTCTAGGTCATGATGCGCTCGCTCTGTCACAACAGTATTCACAGTTAATCAAAACAAAACGACAAATGACTTTATTCGAGAGGCTCCTCAACGAGTTCAATAATTTTTAGTTTTCAACTACGGAAACCAAAAACTGAAAAAAAAAAAAAGCAGGAGTAGAGTTGTTAAAAGCAGGAGTGACAAGTCTTGGTCCTCCGCTGCAACACAAAAGATTTAAACTTAGAAATGGTTTCCTCTCACCTTCCCGCGAACTATGATGTAACTCAAACCTCATCCATGGAGCCAAGTTTTCTCTCCATTCCTTTTAAGCCTCAATGTTAAAATACTTCAATGACAGAAAAATTGCTTCTTCAAACTGTGACTTCAACTTCATTGTCGCTGTAATCTCCCCAGCACTTGCCTCCTTGTCCTTTCTCGTCGGTTACCTCTTGTGCTGTGGTTTTCTCTTCACCTACTATCGAGTGTCCGTTTTCAGATGTTTCTGTAGTTTCTTGTGCAATGACTTCTTCATCCTCAGCAGCTTTCTTCTCCTTGTTACTCTCTTCTTCACCTCCACTCTTCTCCTCAGCCATTTCAGTACCAGGTATAGAATGTCCATTCTGAGGCTGTACAGGTATGTTACACGGATATGCACCTTCTGCTACTGGCGACAACGGGTACCCATTCTGTGTTATTTCCGTGCCATTATAGCCGTTTGGTGACACTGGATAGCCATTAGAAACCCATGGCTGACTCGGTATGAACTCAGCTGCATGAGGGTTCATTATTCTTGGACCAATGAACTGATTAGCCTCTCCATTGGACTCAGCGATACTTGGGAAGCTTGGTTTGTTACGAGGAACTCTGTTTCCAGATCGGTTGTAACCACCACCTGAGAGCCTAGGCCCATAGGGAACTCGAGCTGTTACAGATTGGTGAGGAGCTGACCTTCGGATATGGTTTACAGGAAGCAGTGGCGGCATGTTTAGTGGGGAGGGAAGGATCCCCACGTGGTCGTTGAATCCTGGAACTGCTATCGACCCGAAAATTGGAATGGTTGTTGGGGTATAGGGCGGTGCAGAAGCAGAGAGCTTCTTGCTCATCTCCTTTTGTGCCTCGCAGGCTTCTTGCTTTTCTCCATCTGCAACTATTGATGTCTTTGGGCTTGGGTCTCCATTGGGCAGATCTTCCGTTTCACCATCTACTGCTTTCAGTTCAGTACCAGAGACATCCTTATGTTGCTTCACTCCATTTGAGTCCTCAGCCGTTTGTACACTTTCAGATTTTCCTTGACTGGCATCTGAAACAGCTGTCTCTGTTGGAGATCCTTCTTCTGCTGCCTTTTCAGCCACCTCTCCTTGTTCATTGCTATCAGCATTTTTTGCTTCCGTTTCTGTAGCCACATGTTTATTCTCACTAACAACATCCTCAGACTTAACTTTTTCAGGACCATCTACTGCAACCTTTGCTGCCTCCAAAGTGTCTGGAGCAGTAGTTTCTTCTGACAACTGCTCCGCAACTATTTTCACAATTGTTCCAGGGGGTGCCAGTGCAACTTCTTTATAAGAAAACAGTTTTCCAGCTTGGGGAGTCACAGGACTCACCATCAGAGTTGGCTTATTAACCTGTTCGGTGCAAGGTGAGCTTGCCAGGGCTGATTTATTGTTTACCACCTTTTCTCCAACTGCATTGGAACTGTTTTGCTTTCTGTTCAAACTTGAGCTCTTCAAAAGCTTCTTCGCGTGCTGGGATGTGGAGCCACCAGCAGAGATTGTAAGCTCATTTGAATAAGTCTTTGGGGAGGTGAAATTGTTGGATTTTCCTCTGCTTTTTGTTGTCTGCTGGGTCACGTTCATGAAGTTTGTGTTCAGCTTTGCCAGGCTGGGACGGGTTCTACGCCCAGAAGGATGACGATTTTTCGGGACAGCTTCTTGCCATCCTTCGTCAGAGTCATCATCCACTTGGGGCCTGGAGTCTATCTTAACCAGCGTGGGCTGATCTTGAGGTTTCAAGTCACGTTTCTCAACCTTTGTTTCTTCAGGTTTTGCTTCTGAGTTGTTCTCTTTGTCACTTGAACTCTCTCCAGTGACATGAGTCGGACTCAGAGTTTCATCATCTTTCTGATTATCTTCAGACACAGGTCCTGGACTTTGTCCTGGTCTTCCCTTGACCTGAATAAACATTTTAGATCAAAATCTGTCACAACTTAGTTAATGAGAGAAGTTCATCAAAAACATGGATTAAGTCAGCAGAAAGCAACTATGACCTTTAGGCGAGCTTTCCTTTGGGCGTCTTTTGCTTTAAGATCAGTATCCGGAGTTATATAATCCAGCAGGTCTGATACACTGTTATTGGGAAGAAAGCTTTTGGTCCTTTGTACAATATGTAACGGTCCTAAGAATATACGAAGACAAACGTTTTAATACCTGAGATGGCCTTTGCTGGAAATAGAAGCGTCTGGCTTAGGAGTACCATTTCGTGCAGCTTCTTGCTGTTCCAGAGCTTTAGACTCAAAATACTCAAGCCACGCAGCCGCATCCTAAAACAGTTCTTGAGCGTAAGAAACCTTCAAAGGGAAACTCCATGTAAATCGAAAGCTAATTACACACCTGTGTCCGAAGATCCTCAGGGCCTAGTTTTGCCTGTAGAATCTGTAGAGTGGTCTGCTCATGTTGGACGCTCAAAGAGTAGGCTTCCATCAGAGAAAGAGCAATAGCAATAGCATGGTAACTTGCAGCAGTCTGAAAAATTTAAAAATTTACAACAGAAATAATTCTTTTTTTTAAGTGCGTTGTTTACCTTCCACAATTTTCTGTTTAAGCTCAAGTCCTTGTTTAGAAAAACGAACCTGGATATGATCAGCTCCAAGTAGTCTCTGGTTACATTTCAACGCTTCATGAAGGTATCTTAAAGCCACATGGACATTCCCCAAACCTTCTTCCATCATCGCTACATTGATATAAGTGGCAGCAGTATTTGGATGTGACGGTCCACATGTTAGATGCAAAAGATACAATGCACGGTTGACATATCTACAACACGAATAACATGTTAGCAGCTTGAAAACAATTAATTTTTTTTCGGCTTTGGCTTTGAGAAATACAGAGAGCATACTTTAAAGCTAATTCTGTGTGTTGAAGACGATAGTAGAAGACGGCTAGGTCGCCGTAGCTTTTCATTGTGTCTGGGTGATCAAGTCCAAGTTCCCTTTCATTTATGTCGAGTGCTTTCTGCTGATAAATGGTAGCCTGAAAAATCAAAACTGATTAGTTGCAGCAGATACATTCTTCTGCACAGGAAGTAAGTGAATTGAGCGATGCCTTGGAGACAGTCCTGAATTTTATTAAAGTGAATACCTGGTTAAAGTCCCCAGTATGGTACAGCACAACAGCAAGTAGACTGTATGCTCCGGCGGTCATTCTATGATATGGACCGCACACTGCTACAAGCTTCGTCAGTGCCTATAGAGTCAACCAAGAATATCAACTCACTTAAACCGTTTGAACTAAAATAAATACAATCAAATCAGAAAAAAATGTCAGAAACAAGCTGAAGGGTTGATTCAGACTAGTTCAACAGCATCATTACATAGTTAGTATATACTGAGTGGTGGCAGTCAAAGAACGGATCAGTGTATTCAGACTAGTCAAGAGCTTCATTACGTGGTCAATATATAAAAGAGGAACGAGAAAGAGATCAGTTATACCTTGGTACCATAACTGACAGCATCCTCTAGTTTGCCTTTATCCAAGGAAGTTTTGGATGATTCCAACAAAGTGCGTCCATCAGCGGATGAACATGCAACGTGCTGCACACAAAATTAGTGCTCTTTAGTCACTTAACAATTTCACTTTTCTGTTATGGCTTACTACTGGAGTTAGATAGTTGCACAATGGTACCTTGTATACAGGAACCATACTGATAATATCCAACTTCTTGAATGGACATGATGTCTCCATCTCATAGTCTTTAGGAACAAGCTCCAGTCCAACCTTTGAAACAACATATGAGAACGTAAGGTTAGATTGTCGCAACTAAAAGAAAAGACAGATTGACATTTGACAGTCGCAAACCTTGTGTGACAGTCCCCTAAGAATGGAGAATTTTCTCAATTCCTCGTAACCTTCATGCTTCCAATCCCACCCATATCTCTTGGAAATAAACGTTTCTACCCAGGTCCACTTTATCTTTTCATCACATTCGCTCTCAGTGTCAGACGGTGTTCCCAGTAGGACATTTAAGCATGTTGCTATTGAGATGGCTAGATCAGCAGTGTTTTCAACAGCTGCTACAACAGCCTGCAGTATATGCTTGTATGCCCGAACAATCATTTCATGAATACAGAGGGATTGCACGTGAGGGAGCTTGTCAGCCAGCTCCACCTAAGATGAAAGAAGAAAAGAGTGATTGCTAAATGAAATGAGGCACTTTGCTTATCTATACATAAGCATGTTCTGTTCTCCAGTTTGAAGCGAAGGTACCAAAAACTATGAATTGAAATGGTTACCACTCTCCCCAAGGAATGCATCTGTAAGCCTCTGGTGTGCATAAAGTCAGTCAGAGTTCTCCCATCGACGGGTGAGAGTTCAAGAGATCCAAAGTCTGCCACCTGCAATGTATCAAGTCGAAGTTTATGAGGAGCTGAGGATAACTACTAAAGAGGGTAGTAAAAGTCCAAGAAACTGACCAGTTTTGGAAGAGCGGTGTCAGTGTAGTATTTGCGGGACATTTCAATCAGCTCTCTGGGTGACTGCAGGGCAGGTTCATGGAGAGAGAGTACACAAGGTAAGATTCATAAGAGAAAACTAGGTAAGTATAAGTCATCCTTTACTACGAGCCTCGAATATAATAATGTTACCAGCTGGAGAAACAAACAAACCTTGAGATGAAAACCAGTTTCTGATTCCTTAAGACGTTGATATGCAGCTTCTGTCACCAATTCTTTCCACATTTTTTCCATTTCCTCATTTTGTTTCTCGAGTTCCTTCTGATCTTCAGTTTCTGATTTCTTGTCATTGTCAACCTTATTAGCAAGGGAATCCTTTCCCTGTTCAGACTTGTTAGCTTTCACATCAATCTTCTTTTTAATCTCCTTTAGCAGTGCACCTTGCTTTCCAAGACCCTTAACAGTTGGTTCAGGCTTAGCATCTTCAGTGTTCTTAGTCTCACTTTTATTTTGCAGATGTTGCACCCAACATGCTCCTAATTCCCACCTTATAGGCTTGGTATTTCTTGCGGGCTCAGCCTCTAATTTCTGCAGACTGTCCTCAAATACTTTCCTCACAAGGGACTTAGCCACACGTATTTGTTCTGAGTCTGCATTTGGTGATCTCTGAGCTATGCTCGAAGGCGTTGAAGACTTGTGTAGCAAAGTTCTCAAGCTGAAATGAATATTCATAAAAAGATTGCTAAATACAATCTATCTCCAAATGCACATAACATATGCCAAAGTGTCAATCATGCAAAGAGAGATATGTTAAGCAATGCAAATATGAGATGCCTTTGTTGCTTGAAACTTGTATACACCATGAGTGATAAGTAAGACTAAGGTATCTACAACACAAGAAGATTTTTACCTATTTACATTCAGTGCATTTGCACCTCCTTCTGATTGGTCTTCAATGTCTATATCCTGTGGGAGACTGCCCCCATCCAAGTTAAATTCAGCAGCAACTTTAACAATGGCTGTGAAACCACAATGTCTCACAACCACCACACCCAAGGTTGACGTATCCTATATGATGGAATAAATCTCAGTAACAAACCCAACAAGATCAAGCTAAGAAAATTATCCCAAACTATAACAAAATTACATGAACAGTCGCACTCTCATCAGCAGTGATCCCTTTAAGCAAATTTCTCTGAGCAAGTTCTTCCTGAGAGATCTCAAGAACCCGAGTCCCATCACTCTTCCGGTCAAGCTTAGCACTAGCATCAGGATCATCTCTAGCAACCCTAATGATCAAATCACCTACTCGTTCTTCATGGAAAGCCAACGCAGACGAGAGTTGATTACTCTCTACTACATTCTTTATAATCTCCACTGCTTTGAAAACAGAAACGTCGACGAATAGGCTGTGGAGTAGAAAAGCCTTCCTATCTCGAACTTGTCTCTCTTCAGATGTCTTACAAGGCATCGCTGCCAAAATCGCAAACTCCTTGGCCCACTTTCTCTTGTCATGCTTACCAGACCGGCTAACCCCACCGCCATCTCCTCCCCATGTCACATCCTCCACTGGAAGTGACGGGAAAGTAGACGGACTATCTGCAACAACCGGAGGAACCACCCAAGTATTTGCTCGGTAACCATAAGGAAGGTTTCCAAACTGAAAAAAAAAACAACAAATTATTACATGATAAAGCCTCCTAATCAAACATAGCATAGGGAAGTATAATTACATACTTTATTATGCTCAATGAAAGCTTTCATAAGAGTATCATAAGCCTGCAGACACAATCACAATAACACCAACAATGAGAATACAATAACTGAAAAAAAAAAAAAATGACTAAAATATACCTAAAAAGTTTTTCTTAACAATTAAAATGACTAAAATAATAGTACTTAAATGTTTTATTAAATATACATTTATACCCCTTGGTTTTTTTGTTTAGAATTGAGGAGTGGAGTTTTGGAATATGGTTTCAAACTTTAAAAAATAAAAAATAAAACTTAAAATTTTTAAAATAAAAGATGCTATTTTAGTCATTTTAATTTTTGAGGTCTATTTTTGTGATAAAAACTTAAAATATGCTATTTGAGAGAATTGCCCAAAAATAAATGGTAAAACCTTTAACTTACAGCATCAAAAGGCCTGCTTATCTGTTGAAGCAGCTCAACCAAAGAATGACACAGAAGCTGCTGCTTCCCAGCTGGATAAAAACCTGTTCTCGACGCAACAACTGTGATTGGCTTCCCACTTGACACTTTAACCTGTAAACGGTATACCAAAAGCATCCCAAAGGGAGTTCTACCCGTGATGTCTCAAAATACATAAATATATATATTAACATGAATATTTAATTGTGAGGTTCTTAAAAATATCTCAAATAAGATATCTAACTAAGAAACAGTCCTTACATCGATTTGAAAAAGATCATCTAATCCTTTATCTTCAACTGATGCACGAACAGATCTTCTGATATCTACAAAAATTCAAGAAAACGTTAATCAGTAAGCAGATCAGCTTCACAACGTTACGAGTTAGCGAGAAGGAAACTCACATTGGATCGGAGGAGTAAGATGTGAGAAGGAGAAGAATTCGTAAAACTGCCCGAGACGAGTCGGCGGACACATGTTGATTTCTCCCTTATCTCCACCTTCCGCAGCCTCACATCCGCCTCCGCCGCCTCCGACAGCGAGTTTCTTCTCCGATTCCTTAACCTTAGGGCTGAGAACGGAATCCGAATCGCCGGCATCTTTTTGGCCGGATTCCTTGGGAGACGAGCGAGGTACGGGAGGTTTCGACGAACCGAAGGCGGTGGTGCAAGCGACGATGTCGAGGAGCCGCCGTATGTGCGCGGTGGCTTTCTCCTCCGTGTAGTCCTCTGCGATTTTTTGAAAATTAGGTTTTGTTATTAATCACGTGTGAGTAGCCCTACGGGAGTAAAGTATTATCAGCCGTTGGATTAGGAAGAGTAACCTTCGACGATGGTGACGTGGCAGGGCTTGAGCGATACGATGTCAACGGAATCCTTGAGCCTGGTGCCACGTACCTGAACCCGAAAAGGATTACTTCTTTTATTTAGGCGGCAAATGTCAGAAATAGAGCTATAAACGTCGTTGTTCTGGGCCTACGCAACACCTTGCTGGGCCCATTAGCAAATATTGTAAAAACATGTTTTTTTGTTAAAAAAGAAAAATGACTTTTTTGCAAAAGATATGTAATGTAACGCCATTAGCCAAAATCATCATCGAGTAATCATCATCATATGCATGAAGAGGAAACCTGGTGAGAGAGGGAGAAGTTGGTGAAGTGGCATGTCTGAACATGGACCGCCAAGAGCTTCCTCACATCTAAGATTCTGTCCGTAGAGATTCCCTTTCACCAATAACATCAACAACTTGAGAGAATTGTATTCACTGGTTTTTTTTAAAACATTATCTTATATCAAATGCTAGTCTAAGGCTCAAACCTTGAGAGTCACTTGGGATTCATCTGGTGTTTCAACACTTATCTCTATGACAATGGGCAATACTGCACACAACCACCACACAATTATAATTTATTTTGTTTAAAAGAGCTAAAGAAACCAAAATTTGATTTGAATAACAATGAGAACCTTTCTCTTCCTTCTTCTTCTTATCTCCTTTGCTTTTGTGTGGCTTTGTTTTCCCAGCTTTAGGAGCCATTACTAATGGACACAATACTTAAAGCGTTGGGTTACAAAACCCAAACTGAATTTGATAGGTATTGAGTTACATATACCAAGCACTTTCTAGAGGAAGTGGATGAATAGTGATGAAAGGAAGGAAGAGGGAGAAGAGAGAAAGTGTGTGTGTGTGTTTTATAAGAATGACTTTGTGGTGGTGGTGGCAATGAGGAAGGAAGTAAAAGTAGTGATTGAGGAAATAGAGATTTGGAGAGAGAGAAAGAAAGGATAGGATAAGGTGTAAGCGAGCTCTTCTTCTCTAAGAGTGTTTTGAGGCTAAGTAAAATTGAGGCCTCTCGTTTCTTTTGTTTGCTTCTTTAACACCTCATCACCAACTTCATCTTTTTCTTTTCTATCTCTATCTCTCTCTTTTTGTTTTTAAACCAATTATATTAGTGTTTTCATCATCTAATTGAGATTTCACCCATGACTTCCCATATTTGATTAATCATTTTATTTGGTGTTCGAGAGAAAAAGAATATTCAAATTATTTTTATTTAATTTTTGAATAAACTAGAGAGTGGCTGGCTCAAATTTAGTATGGGATTATGTTAAAGTAAACTTTGGTTTTGTCTGGGCTTTTTTAGGCCACAAAATTATCACTTTATTATTAAAAGCGAAGCAAAATAAAAGAATAATTTTTAAATTGTGTTATGTTTACTTCTATGTCATTTTACTGAAGTGTCAATATAACATTTCTCCAAAATCTTCTTTTAAATTTAGAGTAATTACTAATTGTATCATTGGTATGACTTAATACACAAAAAGACAATGATACATAAAAAACTACATATTATATGGTTTTATTATAAGTATTGTGTGTTAAATTACAACTGATTTCATACTCCAACCATTGACTATCTTCTACGAATATCACTTATTAATCTATCGTTATTTTAAACTTTAAACTTTAAAGGTTGTGTATTATTTTGTAACATGGAGAAGAATAATTCCATTAAATAACTTCTACACAAACAAATATTCATACAATATTTAAGTATATATATATTATCACTTTTTAGCATAATATACAATCACAATAATGATGATTTTAGAATAAATTAAGATTTTTCATTATGCTCATATGAGCGATTATATCTAAAATTAATTTCATAAAAGTAATCAAGGCATGTTTATCAAAAAGATATATCCATCAATATCAATGGAGTCAAGAAACTTGCAATTTAAATTTAGCATGTACAATATCATATTTTCAGTAAGAGATATGACAAGTTCTAAGTTTACTTCCAGAAAGATAATGAAGATCGGCGTTTATGATCAAAATGGTTCCTATGTCTAAAACAATAAAATCATGTACTAATCCTTATAAATTTAGCATAATTATTTACATGTTTGATACATGTAACTTTGATAACTTTTCATCAAAGAAATAATCTATGAAAAAGGTAAGTTTAAATTTTTCATAAAAATGACATATTCTTTAAATTGATTTTTTTCAACACGTTAATTTTGTGGTCAGAAATAACTTCCAAAATATTAATGTCATATCTTTTAAATTTGACAATGATTTTATGCAATTTCTGAAAATATCCAACCGTATCTTTCTAATTAACCAGTTTGTTCTTAATTTATAATACATGTTAGATAATGTCAATTTTATTGATAAACTTTACATATAAGTTACAAACATATATAAATATATATATATATATCATTAAAAAAAAAATAATTATTCTTCGCAAGGTAAACTCACTCTATGCAAGGCGCAGATCTTATCCTAATCAATCATTAAACTCTAAATTTTTACAAAAAAAAAAACTAAAAAAAAAGAATCATTAATCTTATTATGAATTTTGCTTGAGCGTTGTCCTTGCTTATTGGTTGATCCAAGTTTCATTAGCTATAAGATTAACTGTGAGAACAAAAGAAATTAGTAGATATGGGCTTACCCGCTTGGGCAAAGCATTTTAGATGTTCTTTTAAATCAAAAAGAAACTAAAACAGAATTTGATGCATTGGGCTCTAATAAATCATGGAAGTCATACAAAGCTAAACGGAGACTTGATAAAACGTGGGCTTTTCTTTTACGTACCAAGGTTTTGTCTCTTTTCTTCCACAGTTCCAAGTTTTAAAGTTCAAACATGACTTTTTTTTTTGCTAAATTGTAAATGTCATTCATGGAATGAAGGTTTGGTTACAATAAAGTTGAAACCAGAATCTGCTAAAAAGCCATTCTGTTTCTAGTGACTGCAAAAAAGTTTAAAAAAGTCCCTAGAAAACAAGCAAATTAGAAAAAAGACATTCCTCTGCCTTTATTTACAAGTCATATATATCCATCAGAGAGTAATCAAAAGACAAAAACAGAAATGGGTGAGATCAAAGCTAGACGCATGATCCTCCTCTCTATCATATTCCTCTTCTTCTTCTTTTCCGAGACAATTTTTGTGTGTTCAGCTAACGAGCATGGGTCAAGAAATCTTGCAGTGGTGATGAAGCAAAGGGTGAGAAACAGAGGGTCTCCTAATTCTAACACAACGTCCGCAGCTTCAACTATGATGTTACCAAGCTCCTTCCATGTGGGTGCTGCTTCCTCCTTCCTCCTCGCTCTTCTTTTTATAGTTTCTGTTTGTGGTGATTTGCTGATTCAGAGTGATTTCTTTTTATGTTTTTCTAGGATTGATTTTGTAAAGAATATCAAATGGTCTAAACTCTGTTTTTTTAACACCTCATCACCAACTTCGTCTTTTTATCCTCTATCTCCTTTTTATTTTTATTTTTTTTTTAAAAACAATGATATTTTAATGTTTTCACTCATGACTTCTCATATTTGATTAAACAAATTAGTTTGTATTATTCTTGAATAAACTAGAGCGTGTGCCGGATCAAAATCAGTGATTGGTTTTGTTTGGGCCTATTGGGCTTATTTTAAGAATTGAATCTTGTAAAAGGCTACTCGAAATAGCCCATTGATAGTGTTACGCGTCAGCAAGATTGTATCTTTCTTCACAATCAAAAAGGCGAAATTAATCAAAATCCAAAACGATTCAAGAAAAAGATTTGTTTATTAGCATCAGAATGAATGAACGGAGTACAGTATTAGTGTTAACAGCAACGAGAAATTGAGATTACATGATACGGTGGTGCGCCGAGCGATTAAGAAATTGAGATTACATGATACGGTGGTGCAACCAACGAAACGGTTTTAGACTCAGTTCGAGCCGAGAAAGCGGCGGAGTGCGATTACGGCGGGGACGAGGATGACGAAAGCGATGAGCACGATCTTGATGAGTCCACGGTATCGAAGTTGCTTGCTTTGAGCAGTGGCAGCTTTGCGACGAGCGGCGTCCATGGCGGCATAGCGGCGAACGATGGAGGCGGGACGGCGACCCATTGTTAGTTACTTTTCGAGAGAGTAAAAAGAGAGAGCACAGAGATGACTAAAGACTGAAATTGCTGTTGATCATAAGAAAAAGACGGAATCTTACTTATATAGGCGGGCTCATCCGAAGATTAACTAACAGAAAAAAATCTGTAACTAACCTTTCGTCAAAACATAAAAAAAAAAAAAAAAAAAAAAAAAAACTGTAACTAAATGACTGATCTGTTGACCGGTTAAGTGTAAACCGACGGTTACGATAACTTATTGAAATATAATTAAATCTTGACATTTTGGTTTTTACTTTTTATAGACAGTGTCATCTTTTTTCGTTCTCTTATTATTTAAACCAAACTCTTTTTTTTTTTTTTGTCAAATTAAACCAAACTTATTAACAAACATTTTTTTATATATCAACTACATTTTTAGTATTTCAACAAGTAAAATATTATTTACAAAATACTGAATATGTAATTTAAAATTCCTAATATTTAATATTAGGTAGAGAAGTTTGATAGTTTACAAAAACTGAAATCTTACAATGTTTTTCTTTCTCGCATCTCGTTTAAATCAAAACAACCAAAACTAGAATTAAAAAAATAATTATCAAGATTATTCTTTTTTTAACTCATAAATTTGTTATTACGATGGAAAAACTCATTTTTGTACTTTTGATGAAATTTTTTTCTTTGTGATTTCGGAGAGAAATCTCTTTTTTTTTTCTTGTGCGGTTTTGGTAAAAAATCTAACTTTGTTATTTTTACGAGAAAGCTATTTTTTTCATTTTTAGCATAAAAACTCGATTTTTATGAATCCCGTAGAAAAACTCATTTTTTATGAAAACATTAATTAAAAAAAAAAAACTCACTCTCTCTGTTTCATAAAAAATGTCAATTAAATGATTGTCACACATATTAAAAATCTCTTAGACACTCCGTTTATCATATATTCACTACTAGCTAACTCTTTTTTCCTCTAATAATATATTAATAAAATGGTGTTTTAAATGAATATATATATATATATATATATATATATATATATATATATATATATATATATAAAATTGAAACATTCCCGCGGATAGATCTAATAAAGTTTTTGTCACAAATCTAGACGTTAAAAAAATGATCAAAATAGACATAAATATTTTATCAAAACTAAGTAAATATACACTTATACTCTTTGGGCTAATAAATCCTAGACTTTTTTTTTGTTTAGAGTTGAGGAGGCGGGTTTTGAGGATATGATTTCAAAGAAAAAAAATTAAAATTTTCAAAAAAAAAAAATGTTTTTTGGTCATTTTAGTTTTTAAGATCAATTTTGTGATAAAAACTTAAAAGTATCTATTTGAGAGAATTTATAAATTATGCTATACAATTAACATATATCCCACGCGTATTAATTATACATTTATAAATTGTCTTATGATGAATTTAAGGCAGTTTAAGGTCATATTCGCAACAGATTGTTCTTAGTTGGTGAAATGGTTTAAGTACCTTGAGAGTGGCTCGCTTTTGAAAGCTAATTGAAAGACATTATGACCCTGAAACAATAATCTATTGTAAAAACTAAATTCAGTAAACATGAGATAATCCACTTTTAGGTACATGAAATTAAAGGAAATTTATGTAAATATATTTACAAGTTTGTATCTTTTCTACTAAAAAAAAAAAAGAATTTCACGGGTTTTTTATGGTCATCCATGTCCAAAAATCACAAAAAGATGTAAAGTCACATCCAATTCTTAATATATAATTAAAACATATATGAATTAACAAAAAAATCATCTTAAACCTTTTAACAAGAAAAAAAGAAAATCATCTTTTGAAAAATAACAAGTAAGGTTTATTTGAAAAAATTAACATATATCCCACGCGTATTAATTATACATTACAAAATACTGAATTTGTAAAATGAAAATTCCTAATATTTAAAATAAGTAGAGAAGTTTGATAGCTTACAAAAACTGAAATTTTACAATGTTTTTCTTTCTCACATCTCGTTTAAATCCAAACAACCAAAACTATAATTAAAAAAAAATTATCAATATTATTCTTGTTTTAACTCATAAATTTGTTATTATGATGGAAAAACTCATTTTGTACTTTTGATGAAAAACTTATCTTTGTGGTTTTGGAGGGAAATCTCTCTTTTTTCTTGTGCGGTTTTGGTAAATAAAATCCAACTTTATTATTTTGACGAGAAAGCTATTTTTTTCCTGTTTTAGCATAAAAAATCGATTTTTATAAATTCAGTTGAAAAACTCATATTTCTGAAAACATTAATAATACAAAATACTCTCTCTCTCTCTCTCTCTCTCTCTCTCTCTCTCTCTCTCTCTTTGTTTCATAAAAAATGTCAATTAAATGATTTTCACTGATATTAAAAATATCTTAAACACTCCAATCATCATATATTCACACATACTAGCTAACTCTTTTCCGCTCTAATAATACATTAATAAAATGGTGTTTTAAATGAACATTTATATATATATATATATATTTAAAATTGAAAAATTTCCGAGGGTAGACCTAAAATAGTTTTTGTCACAAATATAGACCTTGAAAAAAGACCAAAATAGACTTAAATGTTAAATCAAAACTAAGTAAATATACACTTATACCCTTTGCACTAACAAAGCCTAGACTTTTTTTGTTTAGAGTTGAGAACGTGGATTTTGGAGATATGGTTTCAAATTAAAAAAACTTAGAATTATTTTTTTTCAAAAGTTTTTTTGGTCATTTTAGTTTTTAAGATCTATTTTTATGATAAAAATTTAAAAAGGTCTATTTGAGAGAATTTCCGTTTATTTTTTTTTTTATTGAGAACACTAAACAACAATGAAAATTTGGTCTTATGTTAATAAAATGGTTATTTGCAAAAAAAAGTTTCCCAATATTTTAGGAAATCCATTCTTACAAAGCTTTGCTTGGATACAAAATGGTTTTGGAAAAAACTAAAAAAAAAACTAATTCTAAAAAACACAAAAATCAACCTCGTATTTTGCGGTTTTAACGAAAAAAACTTATTTTGTGATGTTGATGTGAAAACTCGATTTGGCAGGAAAAACACATTTTACGGGAAATCTTGTTTTGAAATTTTGTTGAAAAACTTTTTTTAGTTTCGGCAAAAGAAATTCATTTTTTCGATTTTGGTGGAAAAACTCGTTTTGAGAAAAAAATTCAGTTCAAAGAAAAAATTCATTTTGGGGATTTTGTGCCTTACACCAAAACAACGTTGTTTAGAAAATAAAGGTTATCTAATTGAGTCCAATCCTAGCAGAACTCTTTAATTCTTTAACCCAGTCATAAATTACCACCAAATACTTTAGAAGTAATACATTTGGACTAGGGTTCTTAATTTTTTGGATGGGTCATACGAACCTTAAACAACATAACCCTATATAACAGTCCTAGTTGGACTTTATAAACAAGTCATGACATCTACATTCTCTGCCGCTTCAGGCATTCACAAGGTGGTAAACCGCGCCCTGCATGGAGTGAGTGATTTAATAGAGATTTTAACTTTTACCATATAGGTATTAAAAATATAAAGTTAAAAATCACATATATTATATGTTATATAATGAAAAAATATAAATAAATTCTGTGTGTTTATATAAAGTTTAAAATCAGAATTTCTGTTTTTCTAAAAACATTTGTGCTATTTTTATGTGTAATTAGAATATAGTTTTTGGAAGTAAATCTATAAGTGTAAACAAATATTTATATAAAATTAATTATGAATTTAAGACAAAAAAATGAAAAATATGATTATTTTCTTAATATAAATTATGAATATAAGATTTAAAAATTGGCAATAAAATAATAAAATATTAAAGGAAAAAATAATAAGGAATTTTTAAAAATAAAATATTGAAAAACAACAATTGCGCCGATTAGTATTTTTAGAACTCTTCGTTTAGTATGATTTATATAGTACAAATTTATAGGATTTACGAATATAGAGGAAGCAAAAATATTCCATCACCATGATACAATCACAAAATCCCTAAATTTTTGTCAATTATTTTAATTTACCAATATAATTTTTAATATAAATTCATACTTTCCTATATTATCATCACGGGATTGCTCATATTTGATATTCATATTTTTGTTTATCGCTGCAATTACGGTGCAAGTTATTATTGATTGAAGTTATTTTGTATAAATTTAAAAGATAACACATAATTCCCCATTGACCATAGTTAATAAGCTACATTTTCAGATCTTTTACGATTTATAGTTATTATTGATTGAATTGTACATGTCTTTTTAATGAATTTGCTTTAATGATCGTCAAACTTTACAACATATATGGTAAGTTGAGTACCAAATTAGATACTATAAAACCTCAAAATGTGATTCAATCATGCACTAATTTTATGCTTTGATTAAATTTCATTCGAAATTGTTCTATTTAGTTTGTGATTGAGTATCCAAAATTTAATATCCATAAACTGATCAAAAGATATTTCTTTTAACATTTATGAAAATATATGCAATTACAAAGCCTTGGTCCTTAATTTAAGTAGTTGGTTATTTATTTCCAAATATTTTAAAAAATAGATGATCAATTGGGGATTTGAATTAATTTTAGGATTTTTGAGAACATATCTATTAGAAGACAAAAGATATGTTATGTGGATATATTATTTTCTGTACATAAAAAAACTTTATTGTTTTCATTAACGAAACCTAAATGTGGCTTTAGGAATACATAGCACTAGGTGATAACCTTGCGCATGATGAAGAAACTTAAAGAAACGTAACATAAATATTACATGTTATATAATAAGAGATTCAACGAAATTGTGTATATCTATATTAAATAAGCTTCAACTTTTTTTTTTACAAAAATGTGTTATTTATTTAATTTAATTGAAGTATAATTCATGGAAGTGAATCTCTAAAAATAAGCAAAAATTATATAAAATTAATTAAGAAGTAAAGATAAAACAAAACATAGGTAATAGAATTACTGCTTTCAGAAATAAATTGTGAATATAAGAC